TTTTTCCCCCCAGTCAGTGAGGCCAAGAGAACCCACCGTGGCATCCTGCTCCTCTCATTCCCCTGCTCTCCAGCCAGTCTGTACTCTCAGGGATGGGGTGGGATGAGAGTATGCACTGAAGCAGAAGGAGGGTACCCTGTTCCCGAGACAGACTGTCACATGGAGAAATGGTGGGATCTGTAACAGAATGCTACAGCTGGGAGGGCACATCACATTCAACACTCTCATTTCATAGGTATGGAAAGGAGCCCAGAAAAGTCAAAGGCTGGGTCCAGGGATATGCAGCTGGTGGCTGAACGAGGACGTATATCATCAGCCCACTCCTCTGTTCTTCTCACAGCAGAAGTGGGTATGGAATGCAAAGCAAACCTGTAAGCCCACAGCCTCCTCTTTGCACTGACAACCAATTTTAGAGTTCCTTTTAAACTACTTATATCTCAATCTCCCATTTCTCTCAGCTCTTTCGGCCTACTAGCTTGAGTTTCTGATTCTTATTCAGGCGTTAATAGATGATACCCTGTTGGCTTAAATAATTAGAATCCCAACTCTGCCCCAGCTTGTTGCAGCCTAAGGAGGAAGGTCTTTGGGAAGCAGGAATAGAATACAAGTAGTTGTTCCAGCTCAGAAACATTTGGGCCACATACCATGCTTCTAATAATGCTGAATCCAAACTCAGCAGCTTTTGAAACTTATGCCACCTTATCTAGCAAGAGAGAAAAAATGAAAAATTAAGAAATCAGTAAGGAAGGTAGAAGTAGAGTGAATGCTTTGAGTTCACTTTAGGGGGCCAGAGAATGACCTTCTCAGATACCCTGTGTCATATCAGAGAATGTGTGAATTAAGTCTGGGCCTATAAAGAAAGTCTGTTAAATCTTGCTATCCCCCAAGTGATTATCCATTTGGTTCAGTTACCTACAGAACCTAGGGGCCTCCAGCAAGTTGGCCACAGACAAAGCTGGTTAGAAAGAAACAATGGTCTAATTTACTTCCCACCTTCCCAGAGAACATGCTGACATTTAAGCTAGGTGCCTCAAGCTAAAGGAATGACTAATACATTTGTTAGCAGCTGGCAGAGTAGGTACTTTTGAACAAGTGAGCTATTTGGCTGTATTTCAACCCTGTTCCATTACCTGATGCAAGCCTGCCACAGAAGGTTCTAGGCTCTAGCATCAGGGAGCCACTAGGTAAATAAAAAAGGAGTTTTCCAAGGGAAAGGTTTTGAGGGGGATTATATATTGTTTTTATATTATTCTGATCAAGAGCCAATCATAACAATAATCAATTTAAAAATTGTCTGCCAGTTTATCTCATGCAAGAAAAACATTTTTTTTTCTGTTTGCTGGCTCTTCCTGTACTCCTGAGGAAAGTGGGTAGTCTAAAACGATCAATTTAGAAAAGTCTAGGAGGAGGGGTAAGTAGGGAGGAGAGTGCAACAATGTATGTATGAATGGAAATCCAAAGTCTGTAAACTCACATAAAAATAAAAAAAAATTTAAAAAAAGACCCAAAAGGAGTAGTCATGGAACATGCATGGTAATTAGTAAACTAAGAAACTATCTCCTTTAGAAATAAAGTGTACTCATCATGAAGAGAACATATGATGAAAGGTGAGGAAATGCAAAAAGGATGAAAGAATGAATTAAAAGGTCAAAGATAAGAGGATGAATGAAAGATACTTGATGAAAAGAGAGAATTTAGAGACAAATGGCAGCGACCCAGACTAAATAGCAGAATTGCTGTGTATTATTGAGTCGGAACCAATCCATAGCTGACCCTCCAGAGGGTTCTCAGGGGCAGTTAGTAGTACGGGAGGATACTGCCCATCTTTCTCCCATGGAACCGTTGGTGGCCTCGAACCGCATGCCTTCAGGATTGCAGCGCAGCTTCTTGCCATAGGAAGCTGAAAGAGCTCTGTCTGCATGCCACGGTCCTAAGTGTTGAAAATGAGGGATTAAAACGGCTTTATTTTGATAGAACACATTTTGTCATCTGATCTCTATCTGTAACAGATAAGAAGCAACTTATGTCTGCACTCTTAAGCAGCAATAAATCTGTCAACACTGTGCTTAGTTCTCTTCAAGATGACAAATCACTAATTGCTTGTCTATTAGAAAAGTGAAACCCGCCTGCACTTTTATTTCTTTAAATTAGTTATAATTAAAGCTTTAGTTTACATTTTTACTTTACAATTAACACGGTGTTTCTAACACACATTGACTGCAAGGTGCAGATGAGGCAAGAATGAACGGGACCTCTGAATACCAGGAGTATTCACAAAAGCTGTGCCAGGAAACTCTTTTCTCCCCTAGCTCACCTGAAGCTCAGCAAATACATCGGGACAAAGGAGCCAAAGAGAAGCCACTCCTTGACAGACACTGCCCAGTAACCAAAAGGTAAAATAAATTTGCCCTCACTCCAGCAGAGTGAGTAAGCTCCCCTCATCACAATTTCTAGGATTCAATCCTAAAGAAACCAAAGATGTCAACATAAGACTATTCATCACAGCATGACTGATAACAGCAAAAATCTTCAAACACGTGAGAGTGGAAAACTAAAGGATGGTAGACACACTGAAAATTGACTTTCAAAGATTTAAGAGCAAAGAAAATTCCTCATCATAGCATGTTAAACTGAAGGAAAAGTTGGGATATCACACTGGATGCATGCATGTCCCTCAATAACAACACACATTCTTTTACATGTTGTTGTATACCGTCGAGTTAGAACCGACCCATAGCTGACCCTCCAGCAGGTTTTCATAGTCAGTTAATCACGCGGGAGGCGACTGTCCATCATCCAGAGCTAGTGGACTTGAACTGCGTGCCTTCAAGATTGCAGTGCAACTTCTTGCCACTAGTCCACCAGAGCTTATCAGAAAAGTTCTACAGGGATGGAAGAGATGGTTTGCTTTGTTCTTTAGACTCTTTGGGGAATAAGCATACATTATATTTTTTAATCAGAAAACAAATTCCAATGTTTCTTTTAAATGCGCCTTCTCTAAAATTTCTCCATTTGACAGTTCAGTTTTCCATTTGAGGAAAATATTGCTAAAGTTCCAGGCTGATTCGGAAAACAAAAAGATTAAACTCTGTATAGTAACCTCTTTAACAGATCAGTACACTTAATGACACAGTTGAGCTTTTCCTCTACTTTCACTGCTCAGTCTACTTTACAGGAAGCCCAGCTGCACAAGGCAATGAACCTAATCCCATTCTCAATCCCACTAGCAACCACTGTGTCTTCAACACATTCTTAAGTGTTTCTCACTTCTGAGCGTGAAGAAGTAGTAGCTCTAGAGCTACACATGGTTAGTGCGGCTATTAACTGAATCTGCTCGCCGGCTTCATAGGACAAAGATCTGGCAATGTGTTTTAGTAACATTTACAGCCAAGAAAACTCCACTCTGTCACACAAATTGAGAAGGACTTGGTGGCACTGAACAATAGCATGAAAATCACAGGGAAAGAGAAGAAAGAAAGAACCCTACCTCCTTGTTTCAGACAATGTATGTTTTCTTATAAAAGCCATCAAAATGACTCAAAAATCATCTGCATAGATATTGAAACCTAAATCATGAGCAATGCTCAGCAACCACGTATAGCCATTGCTTTTGTAGAAATCAAAGCTATGAGTGCCACCTTGTGGCAAGACTGACTATTACCACAGCCAAGCAATGGGCTGTCTTCCACTTCTACATCCTCAAGGCTCTTCTCTGCCATGAAACACAGCCATCAAGGCACACATCCCATAATAGCCTGCTACATTGAACGTACATTTCCCAAAATGGCTGGTACTACTTGTTTGCAAGGATTTTTTAGTTTAGATCTCAGACGGGCCTGTTTGAGGATCAGCAGAGGGAAATGCAGCCAAGCACGCTGTTTGTGGGCTGCTGGGCCGCTGGGAGCACCTTTCCAGCACACATACAAGTATTGTTCTGAGGCAGGGACAGAGGCGAAAGACTTCTGGCTCTCCAACACTCTTTATTCACTTAACAAAGTTAGGAAGAAAAAAGTTTTAAGTCTACAATCGATGAGCCTTGTGCTTAGAAACTTTATTTATCAACATTAAAGAAACCATCACCAACTTAGGCACAATTCCAAAATAGAGCTTTTTGGGGCATTCTGGTCACAAAACTCTTTTTATCTCTTTTTTTAAATCTTGTTAGGATCTTGTAAAATAAAAAAGTTTTCCTAATACTTTATAAAAAGTTAACAATCACTAAATTGATGGTTTCCTACTCAGAGTAGTAGCCTATCATTTTAAAACAAGAAACATCACCATTATTTTACACATCTCAAAATGTTAATTAGAATCAAATGGCTTTTAGATCATGGTGTCTCAGGCTTTAGTGGAGACTGAGAAGACATCACGGTGCAACCAGATCAAATGACTCAGGTGGTGAATAAAGAGGTCAGTATCACACATCTGAGGGAACATTCCACACTGATGGGACTTGATACTGAATCTGAAAAAAGACATTCTTTTCAGAAGGGGATTAAGCTAAAAACGTCATAGTTCTGGGCAAGAGGGCTGAAACAAGCAGACCATCAAAAGCATGAGAGGAAAAGCAAAGTGACTGATCGAGGTTCTATGGGGAAATGCGCTTCTCTTTGCTACACCCCGGCTGGAGGGTTATTTCTGGAACAGGAGTCCTTGCAGTGTTGGAGTAGAAGCATATGGCAGGGAGCTTTGGTCCTGGATATGCAAAAAGGAGCATTTCAAGAACAAACAAGGAACTGAAGGGATATAAATGGGATGAGTCCCAGCAGGGGGTTGGCAGGGGGCTGTGGCAGAGCCAGCAGACAAAGACATTAGGAGGTAAACTGGGAACTGATCCCTTGTTCATCAACTCCTCTCCTAACTTGTGACTGAGCAGTTTACACTTGACAAGCCTAATAAAGAGCTAAACCAACATGCTCAATAATGGGGGGTGGGGGGGGAATGTATTTAAAAGATCTTGACAGATCTTCCTTTTCTCTCAGCTTAGGAAAAAGCAAAATAGAGAAAACATAAAGGGTCAAAGTGTTCCTTACCCCAAAAAATGAAATGAGAGAAAAGAGAAAACTGATCCTGCCCAATTAAAATTCAAAACCAAATTTCCCCTTAAAATAAAGCCTTGTTCCACCAGAGGCATCCTGGGGTTACTCTGAGTTAGTTCTGAGATGTGTCACCGAGGCTTTGACAATTAATGGCATATTAAAATAGAAGAGGTGACTCTGTAACTGTGGGTCCAGCTACCCCTGTCCTACCCTGGGAGGGAAGCAGCTATCACGACAGTTTGATGGGCAGGTCTTCCCCGTATTTCCGGAGCAGCTTCTGATGGTTGTGGTCCACTGACCATTGCTGGGGCAGGTGCTTGGGCTGCATGGTATCCAGGAAATGCTGGCGCCACCGGCTCTCCAGCTGCATGAGGGAGCGCAGCCCACCCTCAGAGTGGCACTGCACCACCTTCAGCCCGTGGGGAACGTAGTTTTCATTGGAAATCCTGCCAAGACACAAAGCACAAAGGGTCTGAGGAAAACAACAAATACTGCACAGTCTCCCAGGCAACTTCCAGTGAGGTGGGTCAAGGGGCTTCCGTAAATGTACATAGGAGGTTTTTAGATCCTCAAAGGAGGCACTTTAAAGTTTTCAAAACACTCTCTTTCTCATCCTCATCATTTAGAAGACAAACATACAAAAAGAGCTGCGATACACTGGACACAGTTTAAGAGAAAGTTTTTTTTGGGGGGGGGTGGGGGGAAGGTGGTGGTTATCCTGAGCTCTACTTTTGGGAAAGGCCTTCCTCTCTGAGCTGGAAAGCTCCAGGTCTGGATAGGGTAACTCAGGTGTTAGCTCACCTTTTTTTTAAAAAAACAGTCACCTGAACAATGCTGTTGATGTTATTAGGTGTCACTGCATTCTGACTCACGGAGGTCCTGTGCACATCAGAGGGAAACACTGGCGGGTGCTGCCTGATCCTCTCAGACATTGCTATGTTTGAGTCTGATTTTGAAGCGACGGTATCAACCTATCTTTCTGAAGGTCTTTTTCACCGCCCCTCTATTTTACCAATTGTGATTTTCTTCTCTGGATATTATACAAAAAGCATATGAGAGAAGATCTTGCTATCTTCATTTGTAAGGAACATTCTATATGGACTTTTCTGAAGACTTGTTCCTGCTTCTGCAAGCCCTTGGAATTGTCAATACTCTTTACTGACACCAAAATTCAAACAACCACTCCTCTTTGGTGTTCCTTATTCATTATTCAGCTCTCAGATGTATACGAGGTGACTGAACGTACGATGGCTTCAATCAGGTGCACCTTGCTCTTCAAAGTGGCACCTTTACTTTTGAACACTTTTGCACAATGTAATGCATCATATGGTTTCGTGACTGCTGCTTCTATGGGCAGTGACTATGGGTTCAAGTAAAAAGAAATCCCTGGCAACCTTAATTTTGTTTCTCACGATGTTGGTTATTTGTACATATTGAGAAGATTTTTGTTTTAGTTTGAGGCTGTAATCTTCACCAGTAAATTTATCAAGTCTTCTCATGGAAATCAACTATCACTTGCTTATTGCAAGTTGTTAATGAACCGTCTGCCAACCCTGATGTCACATTCGCTTTCATAGAGTTCACCATCTCAGACTGTTTGGCTCAGACTGAGTTAGTATGGTAAGAGGACACAATTCTAATGAATTATTTCCTGAATTTAAACCCCAACTTATCTCCTTGTTCTGTTAAAATGACAGCTTCTTGATCTAGGTACAATTAAGTGTTCTGGAATTCCCAGTCTTCCAAGAGTTATCCATAATTTTTATCCAAAAACGAATCCATACAGTCAAATGTCTGCAAAGTCAATAAAACACAGGTATATTTTTGTTTTCTAGTATTCTCTGTTGAATCAGACAATGTCCACCTGCTGTCAGCAATGAAATTATATCCTTCATCTATATCCTTTTCTGAATTGAACTTGAATTTCTGGCAGCTGCTAGTTGAAGTACTGTTGTAATTATTTTAAAGTTTCTTCACCAGAATTTTACTTTACTAGTGATATTAATGATACTATTGAATGTTTTCTACATTTTGTTTGATAAACTTTCTTTGTAATGAGCACAAATAGGCTGATGAGCATCTCAAACATCAGTTTGTTAAAACATTCTGTCAATTCTTAGAACCTTGTTTTTTCCCCCAATGTCTTCAGTGCAGCCTGGAATAATTCTTTTACATCACCTTGGATGCTACCTCCTGAAATGGCTCAATGTCAGCCAATTCTTTTTGGTACATGACAGTGTATAGCTTCTCTTGATATTTCTGATGTTGTTTAATACCTTGCCCATAGAGTTCTTCAATATTGTAACCTGAGAAATTTTTACTTCGATTCTTTTGAGAAATGCCAATGTCTTCCCTTTCAGTTCCCTTTTAGTTTTATAACTCCGGGTCTCTACTCCATCATAAATACCTCACTTTATCTTCATAAGGTTACTTCTTCAACTCTTTTGTTCAGCAATTTTACTTAATCATTTCTTCCATTTGCCTCAGCTACTCTATATTCAAGAATTTCTTCTGACACTCATTTTGGTCTTTTTGAATCCTTTTCCATCTTTTTAATGACATTTTGCTTCCTTGATGTATGATGGCATTCCAAATTAATTTGGTCTTGAGTGTTCACTACATCAAATCTATTCTTAAGTGTTGCAAGTAGCATATACTCAATGTAATGCTTTGGCTGTCAGAAATTTGTTTTCATTTGCTTCAGTTTCAATTTGAACTTGCATATGAGCAACTGACGATCTACTCTAGCTGGCCTCAGATCTTACTCTGATGATATTATGAAGCAAAGTCAGCATTATAGGAGGCTATGAAATCATATTCCCAATTTTTAATGTTTTAAATTTTCTGTAATATAGTGTAATATTGGAAGATAAACTCCTAGGTGGTGTGGTGTATGTATGTATGTATGTATGTATGTATTTATTTATTTTTAGCTCCATTGTTCTTTGAAAAAGAATGCCAAGCTGCATTCGAGAGTTGCTGGAGTCACAGTCACAATGAGATGCCCTATGGCCGTGCAAGTGAGACGGCTTAAAGAGAAGACAGAGCGCTACCTTCTTCTCAACTCAGCAGTGGCCTAAAGTCAGCTCTGAAGCCACATGAACAGTGCTTTCACCTGAGAACAGGTATACCCTTTTCAAGGAAGACCCTGTTTTTGGACTCTGTTCCTCTCAGGCATGCACACCCCACTCTCAATCCTTCTTTGCAAGAAATAGCTAACCTTCTGCTTATCTGTAGACATGTTATTACTTAGCTCACAAGTTTTCCATAAATCTAACAACTTTTCCTCAAATAGCTGTTCTCAGTTCTACACATATGACAGTCCAGCATCCATCTATCTAAATCAGCAAGATAAATCTATTAAAAACGTTGATGATTATAAAGGAAAGCTTGGCTGTTTTTAGGGTTTTTTTCCCCTCAAATGAAAGATTCTTAATAATGATTAGAGTGAATGTTTACAAAACATACTGGTTTCCAATTCATACATACACTGTTATACAGCATTAATTGTATACTCATCGTGCCTCACTTACTCTATATTATCTTTCCTACATACATCTTCATTAAGTGTTTGTTTTCATTCCTTTTCCTTCTTCCTCTTGCTAGCTGTACAAGAATGATTCTCTATATAAGTAGACCTTTCTTAGCTCTCTATAATACCAGTCTTATTCATCCTTTTGTGACTGACTTATTTCCCTCAGCACGGTATCCTCTGGATTCCCCTAGGCTTCATGAATTTGCATTCCATTCTTGCGCAGGGCTCATGCTACTCCTCTGTTACTCCACTGGTAGGATGTGTACTGCCAAAAATGGGCAAAAGTCTGACTGTTTTAGTAAAAACATTTGGAAAGCAGTCAAAGGAGCCAACCTCACTAGTTTGTAATAAAACTTGGCATGGACCAAGTGGCAGCATCAGGATGGATGGTGAAGAGATTGAGATTGTTCACAGCTTCAGTTTGCTCGGCTCCACGGTCAACACTCTTGACACCAGCAGTCAGGAAATTAAAAAAAAAGTATTACAATGGGAAAGTCTGCTGTTAATGACTTCTCTAAAGTATTGAAGAGCAACGGTGTCTCTCTGGAGACTAAGATATGCCTGATACAGGCCATGGTCTTTGCAATCACCTGTTATGTGTCAGAGAGTTGGACAATGACTAGGGAGGACAGAAGGAGAATTGATGCCTTTGAGCTGTGGTGCTGGAGAAGAGTATTGAATGTACCATGGACTACCAAGAAAACAAACAGATTCACCCTAGAGAGGCTTAAACCAAGCTACTCCTGGGAGGCAAGGATTCTGGGGCTTCGTCTGACATACTTTGGGCATGTTGCAAGGAAGGACAGGTCCTTGGAGAGGGACATCATGCTTGGGAGGGTGGAGGGATGGCGCAAGAGGGGAAGACCCTCTATGAGGTGGACTGATTCAGTGACTGGGGAAACCGGGATGGGTGTGTCAGAGGCAGTGTGATTGGCACAGGATAGAGCAGGGTTTAGGTCTGTTGTACATAGGGTCGCTATGAGTCGCAAATGACTCAATGGCACATAACAACAACAACAACAATGTTAACTTTAACCACAAGGTATCTTAATATAAAACCTAGAAAACAACATCTACTCTACAACCTCATAAAATAGTAATATTTAAAAAAAATAGAGATATTTAAAAATTAAAAACGTTGTTGTTGTTGTGTACCATCGAGTCGGAATCTACCCACAGCTGACCCTCCAGTGAGTTTTCAGAGGCAGTAAATTTTATGGGAGGAGACTGCCCATCATTCTCCCATGTTGCAGGTGGTAGATTTGAACGACATACCTTTGTGTTGGTAGCATAATTCCTTACCATTAAGCCACCACAGCTCCCTAAACATAGTACTAGCAGCTATTAATAAGAACTCTAAAGCCTACTTCATAAAGTTGTTATAAGAAATTATTAAACCAGTTTGTATAAAAGTTTTTAGCATAATGCTATAAGTACAATATTATCTATACTTACTTTCTTGATAAATATTTGCTATTATACTTAAATTACTAGTCGATAAAGCATCACCATATCAAGGTTTTGTGAACATATTAGTTCAATTATTTCAATCTCTAGTACTTGAAAAATGTGGATTGTTGGAAAGCAGAACCCAGTTGTCGAGTGTTCTTATCACCTGATCTATGTGCCTGATCATTTCACAGGATCACAAATCTCTTATTTAGAAATACTGAATCATGCCACACAAATTCAGCTATGAGCTCACAGGAAGACAGAGAAAGGAGAGAGATTAAAGAAATACAAGCAGTACTAGCAAGTCTGCCTAACATTCTACAGAGTGGGTGAAGACCCTGCAGAGCACACGAGACAGGAGGCACTAATGCACTGGACTCAGATCCCGCATAAAGTCAGAGCCAAAACACACAAATCCTACTTCCTGGGTAATTTTAGAGTTCTGAGGGGATCCTTGACTGTTATATTCATCTGTTGTGCTGACTTTAGCATTTACCTCTGTAGACAATGAACAAGATAGAACTCCACTGCATTTGAACTCCTATACTATTCAAGTAAATAAATGACTGATTATAAGCACATGGCCTCAAAGCGTCAAGGACTGACACCAGATGAAAGCCAAGTCTCTTATGGAAAACAAATGTGGTATGATGCATACACTGCACCTACGCAGGAAGGACCCATTCCTGAGAGAAAGCATTTTTACTAGGTAGTCTGTTCACGTGAATATCACCGGTTCTTCCCAGACCCGTCCCTGACTAGAATTGTAATAACTCGTACCTGGTCTCGAGGCTGGCAGCCTCCTGAAGCATCTCGTCTGTAACTGTGTCTGTGTTATAGAACTCTCTGAGTGCCTGCAGCAGCTCCTCCTTCCTATGAGCAGGCAGGCTCTCTGCGTTGAGCAGGGCCCTGGCCCCGGAGCGGACCTGCCGGCGATCAGGATCTTCCAGCAGGCGCAAGCCCTCCTCAGAGCCGATGGGGGCCCGGAACTCCTTGGCCAGCTGTTGCTTCAAATGGTTGTCATAGTAGTTTGAGATGGCGTGGCAGGAGGTGCAGAGCAGCAGCACATCATGGGAGTTGTGGTCCTTCATCTCAATGGGGAAGTGCTTCCGGTACTCATGTGGGATCACGTTCTTTCTGGAACAAGGACACCACAGAGGTGGTGCTCGTTAATATAAAGCATATGACAGAAAACACACACAGAGCACAGCCATGAGAGGTGGGATCCTGGAATTCTAGCCAGGGTTTGCACATGACTGAGAAGCTTGGCGTGCCACGGCCTTACAGACTGCATGAGGGCAATACTACCTACCCTACTCTCAACCCACCCACCTGTCTGTGCTCTAGTGCCTCCCTCCTTGAAAGAAGTGCAGACCACCTGCTGGCAGGCTTGAAATGGGGAATCAGAGTGGGGAAGAGATCACTAGTCTTTCAGAAACTGGCTATGTCTCCAGAAGGAAACATCACAGAAATAAAAGGATACCCTAGAGGCCTTGAATATCTAGAAAATAACTCCCTCACAGCATGTACTTGGTAATCTCTATTCCTGAAATGTTCCGCTTTCCTGTGTGGGAAGTTGGGATTTTTCTCCCCTTTCCCCACAGAAAACCACTCTTCTTTTTTTTTTCTATAATTATATTTTATTAATTTTCATAAACATTTACAGAGATTTTGGGCTTCCACTCATTCATTGTTGCACTATTCTCTCTACCCTCCTCCCAGTTTGTTCTTGTCCAAATGCCACAGTGCTTGTCAAAGCCAGTTCTGATTAATCTTCTTTGTCAGTGTATCCTTTGCCATTCCCTATCACTCCTCCCTGAGAGAGACTTCACCCTGAGTCATAAGGAAAAGGGGATGGCGTATTCTCTTAGCTACTTCCTGCTGAAAAGGGACACTGTGGGTTTCAGGGTGAAGATCTTCTCTCACTACTCTAAAGGGCCCCTTTGGCAGTAGGAGAAAACCACTCTTCTATAACTGCCTACTCTGAGTTCCTTTCCTAGGTTCACCACGGTCCATCATCAGTTTCCAAAATCACCAAACTATAAGGAAAAATTTTTCCAGCTACAACTGCCTCACTTTTCAGCAACAGGAAGGAGAAATGTTAATTACTCCATAGAAGACAAGGGTAAAGTACAAGTTTCTAGGTACCCAGGCCTAATGGACGTTCTCATCTTCCAGCGAGGGGGCCTGACATTCAATAGTGTTCTTCCCAGAGTCTGCCTTTAAGTCGTCTGGATACCCCATGGATGGTACCAAGGCTTGCAAAGCATGCTGGGCCACTTAAGGGAGGATCATAAGGACACAGTACATCCAATGGAACTGGTCTTGAATGTGGCTACAAAACCACTTTCCAATTGTGACACATGAGCAGGACAGCCCAACACCACACTCACCGGATGTAGGAGTCTCTCTTGCCACATACCACACACAGGTTCTCTTTAACCATCAAGTAATAGTCTCCTGGGGAGTCAGGTCTTCCTGCAGGTTCAAACCGTAGCTTGACCACAAAAGGCTCTTCACTCACCAGCTCTTAAAGAAAAGAGAAACCTTTAGTGTTTGACTGGCCACCTCTCCCTCATGTAAGTTCAACCTTCACTGTGCTCTACTCCACATTATGTTCTGACACAGATCACTATTTCGGAGTTTGGAATAAACAGACCCCATGTGCCATCAAGTCTCTCTGTCCTCTATCTATTTGCTTCCTTATCTCATTCTCTACTCTTGCCAGTATATGCATGCACCTAATTACGGATGAAAGATAACTGAATCTCAAACCTCCAATGCCTTTATCCAGGTACCACTGAGCTTTTCTTCGATCACAAGTGCAGAGGGGCTGTCCGTCAGGAGCATGGAGAAAGCAGTTATCATAGAGGGGGGATTTTCTGTAGGAAAGGCAGAAATAAATCACAGACTGAAGTGGAAAGCAGTCAGCTTATGCCTTGAGCTCTTGAGATTTATAGCCTGGGATACTGGGAGTGAGTTTAGTAAAGTTTACAAGTTCTGCTGAGAAAGTAAACAAGAAGAGAGCAACATGAAAACGGCTCTATAATCACTGGATTAAACAAAAGAGATTAAACTTAAGGAAGTTCAAACTCAAGTAATGAAGGCCATGCAGACTGAGTTCTGTCTCACAGCAATACCTCCTTTGATTTAATCATGCAGTTCCCAAGGGCATTTTGCTACAGACCAAATATCCACTTCAGAGTACTGATTCTTCCTCTCTCTGCACTAGCAATATAAAGTGTGTGGAATGTTCTTAGTGGCAAGGGAATGGCATTGGCTTAGTGCTAGACACCAGTCTAAGTGAGCACATATCAAATGGACCAGGAATCAGACAATGTGTTTTTCCTGAGTGGTATGAGACATGTCATGCTATTCTTCACATTTATTCTCTGAATAAGCAAGGCTTAGCTATCACTTCCTAAATTTCTAGTTCTCCTTGGTACTGGATAAGACAAGGTTCCAATCTGTTGTTCGTAGGGTTGCTATGAGTCATAGTTGACTGAATGGCACCTAACAACAATCTAAAGAGTAGTTATAGATCAAAGATCGTATCAGGTCAGGAATAAAGCTGGGATAAAGTTCTCATTTCCACTCTTGGATGTCTGCCCCCAAAAAAGTAAAAGAAAGAGAAAAAGACAGTAATAAATTTTAAAACAGTTACAAATGTCACAAAGGAAAGCAAGCAAAACTCTAAAGACCTAAGATGAGACATGACATCTTTTACCAGGCTACCTCCTCATTAGCTAAGGGAACAAAGTGGTTACCTGGCTGAATAACCCACTCCCAGGGGCTTTCTTTTATGTTTTCTGGGGTCTCTCCTTTGTTGGCTGCCGGGCACCACTCCATTGATCTTAGACTTCTTATTCTTTGACTTCTGATGAGACTCTGTTGTTTCCCCATTAACTTCTTCTCCCAATCTGAAAATTCCTTTGCTTCTGAACGGGATGTCTACCACATCCTGACATTTCTCGAGGACTTTTCTCCAGCCAGTGTGGCCACTGTTTTCTTCTAGAGTTGAATTCCTATAGAAAGGGTATCCAAGAAGATGAAGAAAGAGAGCCACTGAAATCTGGGCATCCCTGGCAGCATAAATTACCTGAAGAGAAAAGCCAGACATCAGTGCAATGTGGGAGAGAACCAGAGAGATCAGCATCAAGGTTAATCACAAAAACATACAGAACCTTTAGGAACTTAATTCCAAATGCAAGGTAATCTATGTATCAGGTACTTTAAAAAACTTTTTATTATGAAAAATTTCAGATTTTAAAATGAAATATTTTTAGTACTTCCTACAATAATACAATGAACTTCCATGTTTCCTTTTTATTTTGGGCTAAAATAGTATTGTCATCTAAATGCTCAAATAACATGTATAAACCAGTGTGGTTCCTTTCTGTGTAACCGAGCAGCACAGATCTTTCTCCAGTTTGGGAAGGAAGGCATTGGTGAACACAGATCTGCCAGTGAGTACAGGAAATTCACTTTGGGGCAGCCATCCACTAGAATAGATGAAATTATGATTCATTAACAGATTCATGGACTATGAATCAGAAATGAATTTTCACTCCTATTAGGGAACAGGAGTGGCATCCACTTCCTAAACAACTTGCCTCCAGAAACTCTATGAACTTTGATAAATGTTCATAGTTGTATCAATGTTCAATAGTTGTAGAGGGACTTCAGGCCTTTTGTTCATAGAGTCGCTATGAGTCGTGCTCAACTCAAAGGCAATCAATAGCAACAACAACATAAGTGATCAGCAACAAGACGGCACCAAAATATTATGGATTTTCTAAATTATGCTTTTTTTATTAGTGATTAAAAAATATACCTGCTATACCAAATATTCACAGTGGCATTATTCACATTAGTGAAAAAGTAGAAACAACTCAAGAAAGTGTCCATCAAAAGATAAATGGATACCCAAAATGTGGATGCATGTGCGCACACACATACAGTGCAATAGTATTAGTTACACAGAGAAATCGTGTTCTGAAACCTGCAATACATGACACAAATAAACTTTGAAAACATTCTGCTACATGAAAATCAGACATAAAACAAATATTTTATAATCGTTTTTCTATGAAATTGTATTTCGTATCTATATTTAGAATAGACAAATAGATATAAACAGAAAGCAGATTAGTGGTTACCAAGGAGAAGGGTAGAGGACTGTGAAGAATTTCTGCTTAAATGAATAGAGCGTTTCTGTTTGTGGTGAGGAAAAGTTTTGGGAATAAATAGTGCTGATGAATGTTTAATATTGTGACTGTCATTTATACCACTGTTCACTTAAAAATTACTGAAATGGCCATTTTTATGTATATAACATAAAATATACAATTTTACTGCAATTTTTATAAAAGGCAATCAAGTCTGCATAACAGCAGCAATAAAACCAGAATATCCCTCCATTATGTATGGTTTGCTAGCATGCACTAACTGAACATAAGTCAATCAATTCTGTTTTCAAAATTTACAGAAAAAAGACATATTCCTAGCAAATGAAGGCCTGTTAATGCCTGGTAAAGTCAACTATGCTTTCCTGGCACCCAGAACCCACCATTCAGAAAGATTATAATGGACAGAAGACTAGTCTCAGTAAGTACTTTAACTTTTGCTCAGTAAGAGAGATCTGCAAGTAACCACTTGGTGGTAATAAGGGCTGTGTGAGTGATAGTAAGATTTCTTTAACACCACAATTTGTAAAATTATCAACACCACCATTTTACATATTTAGAGTCATTTATCCAAAGACATAAAGCAGCTTACTAGACTTGAACTTATGGTTTAGCTTTATTTTCAATGTATCACTGCTTTCCCCTATGCCACCTAAACCATGACTCTCTTGAGAGCTTTAAGCCTGAGATAAATTTTCTTCTAAGATAAGATCTAAACATTTAAAATTTCATTTCTTCCTAAACTAACCAAGTGAAGGCAGCACTGGAGTTTCAGTCTTCACACAAAGCATTGTCGTTCTTCATGTGCTAACATTTAGAAATGAAAATGTTGTTGTTGTTGATTGCCTTCGAGTCAAGCATGACTCATAGCAACTCTATGTACAAAAGGCCTGAAGCCTTTCTATAACTACTGATATTTATCAAAGTTCATGGAGTTTCCCGAGGCATGTTGTTATGAAGTGGATGCCACTCACACTTCCAATGACGTCTTATGAAATGCCTTTTACATAAGTGATCACATATCTTCAAATGCCTCATATCCATGTGAAGGCTGGACAATGAATATGGAAGGTCAAAGAAAAACTGATGCATCCGAATCATGGAGAAGAATATTAAATGTAAGACAGAACTGCCAAAATAATACTTCTGTATTGGAGAAAGGGCAGCTGGAATGGCCCTTAGCAGTGAGAATTATTGAGACTGGGTCTCACATACTTTGGACATGTTATCAGGAGGCTTGGCCCCTAGAGAAGGATACCATGTTTGGTGATGTAGAACTCAACCCAACTCATTCGGTCAGAACCAACTCATGACTGACCCTCCAGTAGTCTTTGGAAGCTATGAATCACATGGGAAAACACCATTTGCCTTTGAGTTAGCAGTAGAACTCTTTATCCACTATCCAGCTAACAGAGTTCCTTTGGTAAACAGTCAGAAAAAAGAAGATAAAATGTAACAAGAATAACTGACATAACTGCTACAAAAACGACTCAAACTCAGTAGTGCACTGTGAGGTTGGTGTGGGACTGGGCAGTACTTCTTCTGCTATATCTTACACCATCCTCAAACACACACACACATAAAGGTAGAGAGACTCTGACTCTTTTATTCAAGTGGCATCTGTATTTTGCATTGGCAACTCAAGGCAGGCGATTTGAGTCAACCAACTGCTCCACGAGAGAAAGATGCGCAGTCTCCTCTTGTGCGATTTACAGCCTCTGAACACTGGCTGGAGCGTCAACTATGAGTTGGCTTGGACTTGATGGCAACGAGGGACAGTATATCTCAAGTATCATCAGACAATGAGCACATTTGAAGGCACCTCAGACCAACACTTATACTTGGGGTTTAGTTTAGAACTATAAAAACAAGAACACTTGAAAATCAGTAAGTCTTCCATGTTTCAGTAACTCTGATAAAAAGTACCTGGTCTTCTGTAAGATTCTCCGCATCCCAGTTGCTGCAACGAAGTAGAAGGGACTTGTCAAGAGGAAAGTTCAAAATGGTCTCAGCGAGTGATTTCAGGCTCAGCCCGTTACAGAGCAAATTGTCTCTGTGAGAAATTAATAAAATGATGTCTCAAAAATGGGCTAGTATAAAAAAAAGTCAACTTGGGGAGGGGAAAGAAGGGAAATGGGGTAAAATGTGCAACAATGAATGAATGATAATCTACCTTTTCTGCAAATTTTTGTTAAAATCACAATTAAAATTAAAAATTTTATTTAAAAAGTGGGCAAAATACATGAAAAAGCAAAAAGGCATAAAATGGCCAATAAGCAGAGCACTTCAATATCAACTAAAAATGATACATAGTTTTTAATCTATCAGACTTGAATGACTATTTAAAATAGACATATCTAGAGCTGTGGTGCTGGAGAAGAGTACTGAATGTACCATGGACTGCCAAGAAAACAAACATATTTATCCTAGAGAGGATTAAACCAAGCTACTCCTTGGAGGCAAGGATTCTGGGGCTTCGTGTGACATAAGTTGGGCATGTTGCAAGGAGGGACAGGTTCTTGGAGAGGTACATCATGCTTGGGAGGGTGGAGGGACGGCGCAGGAGGGGAAGACCCTCTATGAGATGGATTGATTCAGTGACTGGGGTAATCGGGACGGGTGTGTCAGAGGAGGTGCGATTGGCACAGGATAGAGCACCGTTTAGGGCTGTTGTACATAGGGTCGCTATGAGTCGCAAACGACTCGACAGCACATAACAACAACAACAACAGACATAGTAGAGCATTAAGAATAAATCATTCTCAGCTAAAATCCCTACAACCTTTACAGAAAACATTTAACAATAGTTACTAAAATTTTGAACATGAAAATTCTCTGACACAGCAATTTCATATCTAGGAATTTATCCCACGGGCAAATGTACATACAATGATCTTCACAGCAGCACCATTTACTTTAGCAAAGAATTAGGGAAAAATAACCCAAACTCCCAAGTTTTGAGCTTTGGTGCTGGAGAAGAGCACTGAACATCCATGGACGGCCAAGAGAATACATGTGTCTTGGAGAGGGTCCAGCCGGAGTGCTCTTTGGAGGCAAGAATGATGAAGCTTTGCCTCACATACTTTGAACACGTTGCTAGGAGGGGCTATTCCTCAGAGAAGGACACAATGCTGGGAAGGGTGGAGGGTTGGCAAAGAAGAGAAGACCCTTGACCAGGTGGATTGAAATGGTGCCTGCTGCAATGGGCTCTTTCTTGTGTGTCAGAAAGTGTGAGGATGGTGCAGAATAGAATAAGATTCAGATTTTTTGTTCTTAGGGTTGCTGTGATTCGTACTCGACTCGATGGTGCCTAACAGCAACAACATCCTAAGTTTCCCCCAATAGACATTGTTGTTTGGCATCATCAAGCTATGATTCATAACAACCCTTTTACAAATGGATCTGAACCTTGCCGTGTCCTGTGCCATCCTCTTCATTTCTTTATTTTTTTTTTTTAAAAAAAACCTCTTCATTTCTACTATACTAATATACTAGAGCCCAATGTTACAATTACTCTGTTGATCCATCTCACTGGGCATCTTTCTCTCCTTTTTTTAGTGGGTCCACAACTTTTCCTAGCACAATGTCTTTTTCCAAGGACTGGCCCCTCTTAAAAACAACATGCCCAAAGTAAGTTAGACAGTTTCATCATCTTTGGTCTTTGCCTCTAAGGAGCACCTGGTTGCATGTTCTCCAAGACATACTTGTTCTTTTGGTAGTCTGTGGGAAGTCCAGTACCCTTCTCCTACACCACAATTCAAAAACAGTATGTACACTACATAAGAAGTGCATGCATATGATTGTAGGTATGTGAGAGAGGAGGCTTAAAGAAATAACTACTAGAAAGATAGTAATCAAATATTAAAAGTGCTTTCCAAGTTTTTTATACATTTTAACTCACACAATCCTTATATCAGTCCTATGCAGGGCTGTACGGGTGGAGCAGTCCATTGGAGTTGCACTGCTAACCCAAAGGTTGAACTTCTCTAGTGACTGACTCCTTGGAAGAAAGATGGAGAATCTCCTCCCTTGCAATTTACAGCCTTGGAAATCTAATTGAAGGTCAGCCATGAATTGGTTCTGACTCAATGACAATGAAATTGAGGGTTTTTTTTAAAAAATCCTCAAATCCGTAAAACAAGAACATTATTATCTTGATTTCACTGAGGAGAAAATGGAGTAGTAGAAAGGTTCAGCAACATCTTCAATGCCACATGGAGGAAAAATAAAGCAGCTGCCCCCAAGCCTAGTCACTCCCTGAGAAACCTGATGGTTTCAAGGGCAGCCAGGACAAATGATAAATCATGATAAGGCTTTGGGCCTGATCAGGAAGCCCCGATCTGAGTTAATTAACAGTCCCAGATTCCAAGATTCCATCTTCCCTAGTCCTCCCCAAGACCCCTATAAAAAGAGACTATCCCTAAATGCAACACTGCATGGTTCAAAATTGGGAAGGGCGTACGCCAGGGATGTGTCCTATCTCCATACCTTTTCAACCTGTATGCAGAGCAGATTATCCAAGAGGCTGGGCTCTATGAGGAGAGGCGTGGCGTTAGGACTGGTGGAAGATCTATCAACAATCTGCGTTATGCAGATGACACAACCCTTCTAGCTGAAACTGAGGAAGACCTCATGCACTTACTGCAGAGGGTCAAGGACTGCAGCCTTCAGTATGGACTGAGGCTCAATGTCAAGAAGACAAAGATTCTCACCACTGGACCAATCGGTAGCATCAGTATGGATGGCAAAGAGATTGAGACTGTTCACAGCTTCAGTTTGCTCGGCTCCACGGTCAACACTCTTGGCACCAGCAGCCAGGAAATCAAAAAGCGTATCGCGATGGGAAAGTCTGCTGTTAGGGACCTCTCTAAAGTACTCAAGAGCAACGGTGTCTCTCTGGAGACCAAGGTGCACCTGATACAGGCCATGGTCTTTGCAATCACTTGTTATGCATCAGAGAGTTGGACAATGACTAGGGAGGATAGAAGGAGAATTGACACCTTTGAGCTGTGGTGCTGGAGAAGAGTACTGAATGTTCCACGGACTGCCAAGAAAACAAACAGATCCATCCTAGAGAGCGTTAAACCAGGCTACTCCTTGGAGGCCAAGATTCTGGGGCTTCACCTGACATACTTTGGACATGTTGTAAGGAGAGACAGGTCCTTGGAGAGGGACATCATGCTTGGTAGGGTAGAGAGACAGCGCAGGAGGGGAAGACCCTCTATGAGGTGGACTGATTCAGTGACTGGGGTAATCGGGATGGGTGTGTCAGAGGTAATGCGATTGGCACAGGATAGAGCAGGGTTTAGGGCTGTTGTACATAGGGTCGCTATGAGTCAAAAACGACTCGATGGCACATAACAACAACAACAACAACAACACCCCTAAATGCGCGTGTGCCATTCTGATTTTCTCCACTCCTGGTCACTTGGCATCCCTCTCAGACCATGCAATAAAGACCTGTTCATTTCTTGGGACCAGTTTCTTTCTTCTTCTCTCTCATCCTCGAATCCTTTTCTAACACCACACAGCTGGCAAGTCGCAGCTCTGGGACTCCCATTCAGACAGTGTGCCCTAGGGGTGATTCTTAGCCACTATGCACACCACCTCCAACAGCATAAAGTAACAGAGTTCATCTGGGAAGGTAGTGCCTAAGGGAGACTGAAAAAAGCCCAAGAAAAGCCCAATCCACAGATGACCTTCCAGCAGGTTCTGAAGGAGACTGCCCAGCTCTCTCCCAAGGAGCTGGTGGAGTCAAACAGCCTGCCTTCAGGTTGGCAGTGCATCTCCTCACCCACCAGGCCACCAGAAATGGAGAAGGCTTTTGCTTTTAGATGCCAAAAACATTCAAGGGTGTTTTAATTTTTACAGCAATATTTAAGTGTATTTCTTGAAAAATTCATACATCATTTCTAAGCATTTTGAAGTGAACTGAAGCACCAGGGAGCAAATCACCAAGAAAATTCAATGCAAATGAAGCTAAGCTCTTTTCTATGGAAAACCTACTGCTTGACTCAAGAGGACAGGGTTAGCAAATACAATGCAAGTATTCTATAAATGCTTAAGGATTGCCTTAGTGTCTACCCTTGTAAACATTTAAGGATTGCCTTAGTGCTTCAGGGTGAATTCCAGTTTGTTTCAGCCTCCCTCATAATCTGAAGTAGCGTTCGGTTTATTACAAATATTTAATATGAAAGTTGGCTTCCCATAAAAATAAGCATAATTTTCATCAAAGTTTCTTAGTATAGCAAATCCTACTTTCACCTAACCTTTTAATGTCAGTGTCATGTGGAACATTGGGAGAGGCTGCTTTGGGGTTCATGTTATAAATGAAGACCTGTATATCCAGTCCGTTGTGTCCTCTTGGATTATTAAGGACCCAATGTAATTACATAATCTAGTTTTTCAGGAGAAATCAGCAATATGGATATTATAGCAAATACAGTGAATTTAAAATTAAATGTTTAAAGACACATCATAGTAAAAACCTCATCTGAAGTCCCAATATCACCTTTTTATAACCTGTAGCCTTTAGATTAGAAAAATTAAAATTCTACCTAAAAATAACAGTTCTAGATAACTAAAATTTCCTCAGAAGTTGGAATATTTCCTTACAAAGTCAATACACACCTCAGAAGCCCCTCAACTTTCAGATCATTTCAGACATTTCATTAGTGATTCCCAGCAACTTACAAATCCAGCTGAAACATTTGTTCCATTACTACAGATAATCCAACATACATACATATCATACCTCTGCTGCATGGCCAGGTACCGGAGATCCAGACAGCCCTTAACAACAAGGCCATAATCCTGTAAGAGCTTGCTGGCATCTTCTGAACACCCCACTCCAACTTTCAAAACTGTGCCATCAGCTAAGATGTCCAGTAATGTTCTTGGGATTGTTTTTCCTGCACGGACCAGCAAGGGCAAGCGAACTAAGACACAGAGGCCACTTGGAGAGGCCATCTGGAGGAGTGAGAGAGGACTGACTCTGCCTTCCAAATTCACCTGCAACAGAAGAAGACAGTCACCATTCACATCTAGCATAACAAGTGTCCAAAACGCACAACTTTATCTTCGCAAAGAAGACACATGGCGACATTTTGTCTTCAAATACAGAAATAAGCCAATGTTAACGAATCCAAGGATTCTGTAAAGCAGCAGCCTAAGCAAAGGCTAATAAGGGCCCAAAGCTGTGCAGCCTGAAATGTGAGCCATCCATAAATAGTGACCAGATGACATGCAAGCTGCCTGTACACTGGCAGTCGCATTAAACATACTGGTTTTAAATGGCAAAGGGGAAATAAATGGATAAAGAGCAGTATGCCAAATTGTAAGCATATGTATTTTTTGCATATATATTTTTATAATAAAAATTCCTATGATATCCAAATGAGGTAACATTGCTTGTATAAAATGGGAACAACCTAGAGAACTTACTGATGAAGCTTAAAGCCCATACCCTTCAGTATGGATTATACTTCAACATACAGAAAACAAAAATCCTCACAATTAGCTCAATAAACAACATCATGATAAATCTAGAAAAGACTGAAGCTGTCAAGGTTTCCATTTCATGTCCAAGGTAGTTGTTGTTGTTGACTGCCTTCATAACTCTATGAACAAAAGGCCTGAAGCCCCTCTACAACTATCGACATTTATCAATTCACTGAGTTTCCAGAGACATGTTATTTAGGAAGTGGATACCACTCCTGCTTCCAAACCTGTCATAGTATACTACTGTTTTAGTAGTCAAGAAATCAAAATAGGGATTGCAATGGGGAAATGTGCTGCCAGGAACGTCTTCAGAGTGCTAATGAGCAAGGATGTAAAAATTAAAGAACAGCTGACTGCAAGTCATGCTATTTTCAGCTGCTTCATACACATGTCCAACAATAGCTACATTGAAGATGACAGCCTCCAACGTGGACTGCATCTCAACATCAAGGAAACAAATAGCCTCACCACTGGACTAATGCAACATCATGATAGATGGAAAAAAGACTCAAGTGGTCAACCATTTCCCTTTACTTGGATCCACAATCAACACCCTTGGTAGTAGCAGTGAAGAAATCAAAAGACACATGGCATTGGGAAAATCTGCTGTCAAAGACCTCTCCGAAGTGCCAAAGAGCAAAGATGTCAGTTTAAAGACTGAGATGTGCCGGGTTCAAGTCATGATATTTTCAATTGCTTCATACATATCTGAAAGTTGGACAATTAATAAGAAGACCAAAAAAAATTATGTCTTTGAATTGTGGTGCTGGTGAAGAGTACTGAATATCCCATAGACTTCCAAAAGAACAAGTAAACATAGATGTCTTAGAAGTACAAGCAGGGTGTTTCTTAGAGTCACGGATGGTGGAACTCTGTCTCATCTGCTTTGGGCATGGTGTTAAGGGGGACCGGTCCTTGAAAAAGGACATCACCGTGGTAAAGGTAGAGAATAACAAAAAAGAGAGGAAGAGCCTCAATGAGATGGAATAACACAGTGACTGCAACAATAGGTTTCAGTCTGGAAGAGATTGTGATAATGGTGTCAGATATGGCAAGGTTGAAACCAGGCTGCTCCTTGGAGGCAAGGATTCTGCAACTTCATCCAACATACACTGGGAATATTGCAAGGTGGGACCAGTCCTCAGAGAGGGACATTATGCTTGGGACGGTGGAGAATGGCGCAAGAGAGGAAGACCCTGGTTGAGATGGAGTGATTCAGTGACTGGGGTAATGAGGGTAGGTGTATCAGGGACGATAAGGTTGGCTCAGGATAGAACAGGGTTCAGAGCTGTTGTACACAGGGTCACTATGAATCTCAGGTGACTAGACGACATCACAACAATAACAACAACAGGGCAAGGTTCCAATGAGAGTTGTTCATCGGGGTACTGAGTCAAAGTCAGATCGACAGCATTTATCAATAATAATATATGCATGTGAAAGTTGGACAATAAATAAGAAAGACTAAAGAAAAGTTGGTGCTTCTGAATGGTAGCGTTGGTGAAGAATTTTGAATATATTATGAACTGTTCAAAAGAACAAACACATCTGCCTTGGAAAAATTGTGGTCAAAATACTCGAGTGAAGCAAGGATGGTACTTTGGGCATGTTACCAGGAGGTGCCTGGTGAAAGATGTCATGCCTGGTCAAGCAGAGGGGAAGCAAAAGAGAAGACTCAACAAGATGAACCAATACAGAGCAACAAAATGGGCTTAAGCACAACTGAGATTGAAAGGTGCAAGATCAGGGAGGACTGCATTGTGTACACAGCGTCCCTGTCCTGTACACGGGATGCTATAAGTGGGACCCAACTTACATTATCTAACAACAACACATGTACGTGCTAGCTAACTCATTTAGCATATTATCATCACTACCTCAAGACTCAGATTTTTAAAAATTTTATGGTGGTAAAATATAAAATCTGCTGCTGTTATTGTTGTTGTTATGTGCTGTC